CCCCCCCCCCCCGCGACAGGAGAAAACCACACAAATACACTCCGGAAGTACAGAACTTACTTTTGCGCGCTTTTGTGTTGCCCAACGACGACGTACTTGATCGACAGGTGGGTCAGCGCACTGACTCCCATAAAATGAAGAACTGGTGAAAAGCTGGAGACGGGCAGCAGTAGGGGAAGGAACGGGGCGTGGAGAGCCAAGAATGAAGAAGTATCAGGCCGATGTGTAACTTGAGAAGGCACGGTAGATTCATCATTTCATGTGGTAGGGCTATGTGCAGTGTGCGGTCACATGGAAGAAGCATTTGCCTGCGCACGATGTCTCATGGGTGCAACACCCGACGAGACCTGCAACGATCGAGCTTTCCGCATCCAGCAAGATACTGGTGCAAAGCAAAAACGTTCTCAAATTCGCCCTGCTGCATGTGCGTCGTGGTTGACGAACATACAATATCCACAGGATGCGATGTTTCATAGTGCAAGCTTTTGAAGTCCCGCACACTTGCCGGCCACAACCTCCGCGGAACGCTCGACACTCGTCGAGCGACGACCACAGCGGGCACAAAGCAGCTACACCAGTGTAAATGGATGAGGGGTTGCCTACATCACCAACTTCATCTCTGTTCTTTGTCAGCGTTCACGCTGATCAGCATGCAAGTTTCGTGCTCAACACCCTTGTAGAAGCACATTGCAACAAGCTCTTGCTTCGTGGTTCTTTCAAAGCACGACCCAATTAATGTTCCCGGAGGAACCGCCTTTGGTTTCGTTGTATCTCCCAATGGAGTTGAGATTCCAATGATTGGAGAATTTACAGCGGAATGCTACAACAGCGGCGGAGTGGATGTTGCTTCTTTGGAGCCCCACCAACGCTACCGATTCTTCGATGTCAGCATGCCGGCTGATACGTCAGGTACATACGCCGAAAGAAAGGCCTGTAAACAGGCGCCACAATAGATGGGACGAACACCCACACACACACCTCACGGGGTCCCATTTCATGGCATTTAGAAGTGTTTTGTGTTTTCAAAGGCGATACTGACGTCCTTTCACTGGTCTGCCGGTTAGCGCGGTCGATGCGAACAATAAAGACACACACATAGATTCAAGGGTTTCGCTAAGTCTTGAACTATCTGCTGCTTATTACTCAATATTACTAGCCGTGGGGCGTTTGTGATCCGCGTGACGGCGGTCCAAAATCATAAAATTATGCCACCCAGGGACGTTGCGCCCGTCGCAACCGCTGAGCGGCGACGTTTCTCCCTCGGGCTGCGCTGAACGTATCAAATTCGGCTTGAGACGGGCGTGTCGAAGACTATTCAACGGACAATCAGATATTTCGAGCTGTATCCTCGGTCAGACAACACTGATCAGTGGATACAGATAGTGCCCGCACTTTTGAAGTTAGCAGTTAAGAAATTGAGACCCGCAAAAAATCGGAAGCTAAGAACTTGAGCACCATTTGTGAGCTCGGTTAAGAACCCCACACTAAAACCTATATCGCGGCCATTTGTAGCCCACAAGAGGATGATCAGTAACCCCGGCCTCGGCCGAAACTAGAGGTTCTTACGTGCGGACGCCATCTGTAGGCTTCCTTGCAACATTCTGGCGTTTGGAACGTGGGTTCGAATCTCGGTGCCGTCACTCCAACTGGGATTTTTCTCACACATGCCTAACCCTCTGGAAAGCAATACATTCGTGTGTACGTAAAATAATCGACTTGACGGTCGGCGAGGCAAGCATCTGCAGAAGCAAGGTGGAGAAAAACTCCTGTGTGGACCGACGTCACATTGCATCCCCAAAACTGAAATTAAAAATGTATTCTCCGCTACTCCTCTCGGTCTAAACCAGCGATCGCCCGGGGGCCAACCGACCACCCTCTCGCGTGCACTCCAATCGGCAGCGGTAGTTTGTTTGACGGAGGTGAAGATGTGTGTGTGATTTCCCAATTCGAAAAACCGAAAGCGACAAGCACCAAACTCCTTCGCTGTGAGGTTCGATTGCCCAACTTGCCTTGCTCCCCCCTTCCCCTTGAGGGACGTCCACCTATGAAATGTGTAGTCCCCGAGGTGATTCAGCGCTGTGACAATGTGCATCGACATCATTAATCTGAGGGATGACCAAAACAAATAAAACTTTCCGCAACTTCATAACCTTAGTTACGAGCAAACGACCGCCCAACCTCGCGTGAAGGTGAGGACCATGAACGTCAGCTTCTGCTTTTAGGCTCAACAACGGTCTCCGTGAAGCACAGTGAAAATTAAGTGATGGATATGTACGCAGGAGGAGGGGGGCGAACGAATAAAATGGGGGGGGCTGAGATAACTCTCCCTGCTTCCGAGAACAGCCTCTATTTTGCAAGACAACTGTGCACACGAAAGTGGTAGATTGTACATATACTGACTGCTGTATGCATACACTGTAGCAGTGTGGTGTTTTATTCGCGTGCAGCAGCGCGGTTCCTCGGTTATTGGGAGGCCAGCGCTGTCTGACCTTGCTCAAGATGCACTCGAACACTGTACTGCTGTAGACGTTCCACTACGTGCTACCTCTATCATATTGTGCACCGTTGATGATGTTGACTGTTGTAGCTCCAACACTTGTGTACACCAACCGTGTAGCTTACCCTCCTGTGGCATCTGGGTGCCGTGGAGCCGTGTAGAGGTCAGGTAAAGAACAGGAACCTTTTAGGCCTGTCCTCCATCGGCCGTTTTATTTTCGATTTAGATACACAAACTTTATTTCTATACTAATTTCAAGTAATTCCACCTTCTTATTCTCCGTCATACAAGCAAAACGGCCGATGGAGGACAGGCCTAGAACCTTTGCCCCCGTAAGCTGAAAAGTTGTAACGGCGAAGCTGAGGAGGCAGTTGTATTGTTCAAACAAGCAGATGCTAAAATACAACCCGTCTGGGCAGTGAAATCCCACTGCTTTGGTGTGTGCAAAACACGGCAAAGGCGTTAAAGAACTGCCGTGGTTGAAATCTCGAACGGGTACAAATACATGTTGTATTCAGGCTAAGAACTCTGCTGATTCTTAAAAAGATGAGTATCTACTCGTGACGGGCGCAACGACGCAACACATCGGAAACACATATTTGACTTCAAGTCGACAAGGGAAAGGGAGTTCTCGCGATCATGACAGAGAGAGAGAAGGNGGGGGGGGGGGGGGGGGGGGGGGGGGGGGGGGGGGGGGGGGGGGGGAGAGCGTGACAGTGACAGGGACAGACGATGCAGTCAATACTGCTGCATACCGATCTGTGGGTACACGTGCATCATACCGACAAGCGGCACAATGTGCCAGGTGCTACCGTAGATTAGAGACCGACAGCAGTAGCGGACGCAAAAAATCCTGAAAAGGACCTGAAGACAGCATACACAGAGAGATTGGCGCGAGGCGGAGGAGCAACCCCCGTACAACGCCATCGCTCCGGGAACCGAGCATCCCCAGATTTAGCGTGAGCTCCACAATGGAGCAGAGCCCCTCCCCTCACTGATAGCCTCCACAATATTTTGTCGATCTCATCACCTTCCAGTTTGAATGTACTTGGCGCTGTATCGCTTCGCGAAGCCAGCAAAAGCAGCAGACATCGACATTATTGACTCCTAAGGCACGCTTCTCCGGCTGGTCGTCTTGCTGATGGTTTGCCAAGACCACGTACCTCCGCACCACTCAGCACTGCTAGGAAATTCTCTCGCACAAATCAACACCTTCTCTGGGGAGTCCGTAGGGATGAAAAGTTGGGGGGTGTTTTCCGAAGGGCGGAACCCACGGCGCGCCATACGGATGACAAGCAGCAAGGCAGAACAGCACTGACCAGGTAATTGAGCTACACCAGTAGCCGTGGAGACCCTCGTAAAATGTCTGCCGTTGATACATACCGCATCAAGAGGGTGCGATTCTTCGGCCGAAAGGTGGGTCCTTGCTTCCCTGACAACACCCAGGCAGTGTTGGTCAAGTGTATGGTAAGTGATTTCGCGAATGTACAGCATGTAGTTATTCCGCCGCCTTCACTTCATGTAGCTGCACTACTGTACATACTGTATAACATCTGACACACGCTGCTCTCCCGCTCGTCAACGTGCCCGCATCCCTGCAGGTTCCCATATTATGCCAAAACTTGAATGGACCTTGCCCGCTCCTCGCAATAGGGAATATCCTCCTCCTTCAAAGTAATATTTCGATCCATCCTGTGAGTGGTGTGTGTGTGGAGGTTTTCATTCAAACTTGTGGGTGGAGAGTTCGATAGTACTGGTGGTCAGTACATTTGCTCGTAGTCTACTTGGTAGACTAAATACAGCAGTTCTAATCAGATTTCCAACATATGCGTTGTACGAGGTGTACCTAGTGGTAATATACCGCTATCGATGTTCCTGGCAGCTTGTCGCAGTATATCAGCACCGGCAATCTCGTATTAGGAAGCCACGGACGGTAGTACGTACCAGAGGTCGGTACACGTAATGTTGACACACTTATTATCTTGACACACATTATAGCTAAGGCGTGGTAAATGAGCCGCGGGGTACGATTCAATACTCAAAGTAGTCTTGTCTACCTGCAGTACTATGCGATGTCAAACGCCGTTGAAACTCATGTGAACGTACCCCGTTGATAATATTCAACAACGATGACACGAACCCCTTCTTCCGTGTGTGGTCGGTCTTCTTTTAACGGCATATTGAGGATTGCAAGTCTCCACTTCCACAATACAGGAAACGCCTGCATATCTCAGCTTTCCAATGTCTAACTCCAGTACGAAACTTAAATCGCAAATTAACCGTCCGCTGACCCTCCCCTCGTAGACAGTGTTACTATCTGAGATTGTAGCACTTGCGATACACTGTTAGGGGTGCCAATCGGTCAAATTTCCTGTAGGAAAAAATTTCGAAAAGTGTCCTGGATCTTCCAGATGGAAAAGCGCTCGAGCCAAAAAAATCACATCGAACGTTCCGAAGAACCCCGCCAGAACCAAAAAACACCTGACCCCCCGCGAGCGCGAAGCGTGTGTGAACGCGTTCCGCCGTGCCGTGGAGGTTGCACACGGCACCCTAGCGGCACCCTAGCGCCGTCCGCAACCTAGCAAACATGCCTGGTGGCTCACTCGAACAGCCGCCGGGCGGTGGGACCGCGCGGACTCCTCCTGCTGGAGGAAGCAGTGCTCCTCCTGCTGCTGGCGAAAAAAACAGCAGCAGCGAGGAAGCACCCATCATCTACGCCCACCGCCTCCGCCTTCGCCTTGTCTCGTTCAGCCTCTTGCTTCCTCCGCTCTGCCTCTTGCTGCGACCGCTCTGCCTCTGCTCTCTTAGCCTTCTCCTCCTTTAGCGCCTCGGTGCTCTCGCGCGCGAGCTCCTGAGCCATGCTGCACTCAGCGGTGCTTGCCGCCTCGCGCTGTTTACTTTCGACCAACTCATGCTCCTTTTCTGTCAGCGCTTTCTGTGCGGCGGCAACACCGCCCCTTTCGACCGCACGCCGTGTGTTTGACGCTGCGCAGGCGGCGTACACAGACTGCCCCGACGCCTGTTCGTACTTGGCTTGGTTTTTCCTGAGGTTCTTCGCGGCTCGCCTGCTGCCGCCACCAAAAACGCGCCTCTTTTTTTTTTGGTTACGGTTTTTTTGCTGCTGTGCTTCCCTGACAGGCGCTGCAGGAGACCCGCTTGGAAGACCATTTTCAGACATGTAGATCTCGCTGTTGACTTGAGCGATTCCAGTTCGGTCTTTTGTGTTGTGTGGTCTAACTCCCAAGGTGGTGCACTGCAAGCTCGCTTTCTCAAGAAAGTCAGAGGCGGCCTCGGGCATTGGCCATACAGCTGAAATTTGTAGGTTTTTCTGGGTTGTTCATCCGCCCTATAAACTTAAGCATAAACCGAGCTTGCAGTGTCCTCTATTGGACTTGTGTCCACATGTGTGCAACGTATGAAGAGCCACGTCGCTGCCTGGACGCAGAGCTACTTATACAAAGTACGGAGGATAAAGTATACTTTGATTGGTATGATTCAAGAGCTGACTTGAGAACCAAAAAGTCCGCGTGCCCCCCTTTTTTTTCTCAAAATCCTCGAATAGACCGGTCACTTTTTTGCCGCCAAAATCGCCCCGATTGGCACCCCTAACTGTTAGGGGTGTCAAAGCGGCGGAATTTGGTGCCAAAAAAACGTCCGGTTCATTCGTCAAAATTTGAGGGGGGCACGCGGAGTTGGTTCTTTTTTTGGTTCTTGAGAATCCCGCTGTTAATACTGAATAACCTACACATCAAGTCAATTTGTTTGTTNCGGTCACTTTTTTGCCGCCAAAATCGCCCCGATTGGCACCCCTAACTGTTAGGGGTGTCAAAGCGGCGGAATTTGGTGCCAAAAAAACGTCCGGTTCATTCGTCAAAATTTGAGGGGGGCACGCGGAGTTGGTTCTTTTTTTGGTTCTTGAGAATCCCGCTGTTAATACTGAATAACCTACACATCAAGTCAATTTGTTTGTTCAGGCAGCTCTGCGTCCAGACAGCAGCATGGCTCTTCATGCGTTACACACACCTGGACACAGGTCCAATAGAGGTGACTATAGGGTCGGTTTTCTCTTAAAGTTAAAGGGCGGACGAACAACCCCAAAAAACATGTTTTTTGGGGCTCTTTGCTCCACGCCCAAGGCGACCTTTGCTCCTCTCGTGAAAGCGACCTTACAGCCCTCTACCTTGGGTTTGGAGCTATTGTTGTTGTCTATACCACACAACAAACCGCATACGAATCGCATCAGCCCACGAGATCTACATGTCTGAAAACGGCCCCTCCAGTGGGGCTGCAGCGCCCACACCAGCAGACCCTTCCAAAAAAAAAGAAAAACGAGATCCGCGCCGTTCGGCAGCAGGAGGCGCGCTGCGCGAAAGCTGAATCAAAACAAACCCNCGACCTTTGCTCCTCTCGTGAAAGCGACCTTACAGCCCTCTACCTTGGGTTTGGAGCTATTGTTGTTGTCTATACCACACAACAAACCGCATACGAATCGCATCAGCCCACGAGATCTACATGTCTGAAAACGGCCCCTCCAGTGGGGCTGCAGCGCCCACACCAGCAGACCCTTCCAAAAAAAAAGAAAAACGAGATCCGCGCCGTTCGGCAGCAGGAGGCGCGCTGCGCGAAAGCTGAATCAAAACAAACCCAAGTTTGAAGAGAGGACGGGGATGTCTGTGGCTGAGGCGTCAGCAGCAGACAACACCCGGCGCGCTATCGAGCGCGGCAGCATCACCGCCGCGCAGAAAGCGCTGGAAAGAACGAAGGAGGAGTTGGCCGAAAGTAGGAAACGTGAGGAAGAGAGCAAAGCTGGTTGCAGCATGGCTCTGGAGTTTGCGCGCGAGAAAGACGAGGAGCTCAAGTCGGAGCGGGCACGGAGACAGCAGGCCGAGCAGGAGAAACAAGCCATTGGGCGAGAGAAGGAGTGGGCGGTGGCGGGACAGCGCCAGGCGGAAGAGAGAACCCGTTGAATAATCNAAGTTTAAGGGCGGACGAACAACACCAAAAAACATGTTTTTTGGGGCTCTTTGCTCCACGCCCAAGGCGACCTTTGCTCCTCTCGTGAAAGCGACCTTACAGCCCTCTACCTTGGGTTTGGAGCTATTGTTGTTGTCTATACCACACAACAAACCGCATACGAATCGCATCAGCCCACGAGATCTACATGTCTGAAAACGGCCCCTCCAGTGGGGCTGCAGCGCCCACACCAGCAGACCCTTCCAAAAAAAAAGAAAAACGAGATCCGCGCCGTTCGGCAGCAGGAGGCGCGCTGCGCGAAAGCTGAATCAAAACAAACCCAAGTTTGAAGAGAGGACGGGGATGTCTGTGGCTGAGGCGTCAGCAGCAGACAACACCCGGCGCGCTATCGAGCGCGGCAGCATCACCGCCGCGCAGAAAGCGCTGGAAAGAACGAAGGAGGAGTTGGCCGAAAGTAGGAAACGTGAGGAAGAGAGCAAAGCTGGTTGCAGCATGGCTCTGGAGTTTGCGCGCGAGAAAGACGAGGAGCTCAAGTCGGAGCGGGCACGGAGACAGCAGGCCGAGCAGGAGAAACAAGCCATTGGGCGAGAGAAGGAGTGGGCGGTGGCGGGACAGCGCCAGGCGGAAGAGAGAACCCGTTGAATAATCAGAGCACACACACGAGCGGCGCCCTCGCGCGTGCGCGTCAGAGGGTCTTTTCGGGAGATTCCGACGGTTCCGTGCAATTTCATTTGTTGGTCGATTTTCCATCAGCAAGATCCGAGGACGCTTTTTCAAGTTTTTACCTGTAGGAAATTTTCCGCTTTGACACCCCTAACTGTAGACTAGCGCTCCACGATTTCAGGGCTCTGCAGGCGTTTCCTGAATTTGGAATAGGAGATCTGCAATCCCCAGTGCGCCCGTCAGACTAGGTTTCTCGCCGTCCCCTGTGTCCCCGGGGCCCCGTGATGGTGTTTCCCCCCCAACCATAAATATATATATTTTTTCTCACAGGTCAAACTGCTACACTAGTAGGGGGGGGGAATGAGCCACAGGTGACGACCTAAGACTTACAGTAGTCTATCTGCGATGCTGTGTGCAACGCGTGAGACACACTGCTTCCAGGCGATGCAACGCGCAGTTCATTACTTGCGGAATACATGTCGAACGGATCTTCCAAGTGATGCACCCGCTCCCCCTGGAAGTTTGTTGAAAGCTCCCGCTGCAAGTTT